CGACTAAAACACAGCCAAGACAAGCTACTTTGTACAGACCAAAGGTCACCTTTATGTTATTTTATATGGTAATGTGAGTGCACGTAAGCCGCATCATTATAACTTCAATATTGTTAGCCAGGCATGGATGAAAGGTTAATATAATAAATATGTATATAAATGTATAATGTTATGAGATTTAAGCTATTTCGTCTAAACATTTATGTTTTTGTGTTATAATTTATGTTCATTCTAGAATGAAAGAGGCATAGTTTGTTTATTTCCTAATTTTTTTATGGTGGTAGCAAAATCGGTCAAATTTACTGAACCCGTACAGAGATTAATTACTGAAAATAATGGATAAAATATAAAGTTTTTTCTTAAGAAATGTTTGATAACTATTTAGACATTATAAAGATTTCACTTATGAAATTTCAAAATTTTCTGATGCATAAAAGTGTTTTTAATGTTAAAATGAAAATTATTTTGAATGATAGATAGGCAAGATATGAAAAGAAAAAGAAAAGACATGAGAGAAACATTGCTTTACAAACCATAAGACTTAATAAAAAAAAATAGATATTTTGCGTATGAAAACATTGTAATGTTTACTGATAAACTGCCAAATTTAGTTAACATTTGCTTACTAATTTAAAAGTTATAGCTTGAAAACTATAACAAGCACAAAAGGGTTACGAGGTTGGTCCCAGGGACCAAGCCCGCATTGATAATTTTCAATACCAGATGTAATGAGAAGATGTACAACTATATGGTACATAAAATGCTTATTTTACACACAGTTTTTTGCATTATCTGCTAATAGTAAAGAAGCAAAGCTAAAGTAAGAAATGTTTATTTTGTATTACTTCTTTGTTCAGATATGTGAAGGTTTGGAACTACTTATTTTAATCCAACTTTCACTTGTCCCAAACAGTTGGGAATCTTGTTAATGTCCAACCATGTAATACCATTGTAACCCATACTAAACAGACTCATTTGTACAAACTTGTAAGTGATAAAATTTTAGAAAAACTTGTAATTTGATGTTATAATTATTTTCATTTGATTTGTTCTCTTTTTTTTGCATCACCTTAAACAAAATGATAGAAAAAGCTCCTACAATTGATAAATGTAACAATATTTTCACATTTTAAGTGAACTATATTTCAAAGTTTTTGTAGTAGCATTTTGTACACTAACTCTTACTGTATTCTCTGTACAAGAAACAAAAGCTATTAATTCTTAAACTTTAGGAAGTTGAATACAAAACAAAAGTAGAGGAAGCCATAAAAGAGGCTTTAGAGATTATTACAACTGGAAATTGGAGGACGGAGAAGCTTATAGATGAAGATATTATCCAGAGTCGAGAAATTTCAAAGTACGGTAAAATCTTCAAGTTTGTGGTGAGCATTTACTAAGTCATTACCTTATATCTAAGTTTTGTGAATCAAGAAGACAAATTAGGTCATTACTTTGTTTATTTCTGTTTTTGATATTTGTGGGCTGAAAGTGGTTTTAGTAGTTTGTATGTTTTCACCATCTCTCAGTTATATATTACAGTTTTGAGAAACACTTTATCAATCAGTTATTTTTTATTGTTGTGTGGGATATTTATCGATTTTTATTTTTTTATTTTTGTTACTGGGTTCTTTTTGGTGAACTAATGATGTCATACATAAGTCATCATCACTATATAT